AACAATTTTGCCAACGATTGTTATATCTGATAACAATGCTAATCCGGTCAAATAGCTATTGTGATTTGGCACAATATCCAGTAAAAGAGAGAACTAGTACAAGATAAAAAGATGGCCTTGCTTCGCTACTGTTCTTGCATCTTCCGCACAAGTGTTAACCGGGTTAATTAAGCTTATCGACGTCGTTCTGCACGACTTTGATACCGTTACGTCGTGTAGGGTCAAAGAGGAGGTTTTAACGTTTCATAATCCGGATATCCACGTAGTTCTTCAAATGTCGATTTCATGATTTATATTATTAATAAAGCGTAATGCAAATAATATAAACAAATAATAGACCATAAAACTTTATCATTAAATTGAATCGAACCGTGAATAATAATGACAATTAACTGTCTGTGATTTATTCTTCCCAGTAATTTATTCCCTTATAATATTATCATTTCATAAATTATATTACATCGATTTGTTTGCGGTTTGTCATAACAAAGTAAAACAGATTTTTCCAGAAATGATATCACATTTAAGTATAATGTTTAATTAATAATTAATATCTAAATCAATATCCGAATAACACAAATATTGATTATTTTCAGACAATGCAAGACTTCCAATTAGAAAATAAAAATTTCAAAATAGGCATACACAAATTATCTCTGCATGAGTAACTATTTACTTATTTTCTTTATCAAATTCATTGTAAGCACTTTATTAGAATGTGAGAGTATATATAGAATATATATATATATACGCATTTCGAGATAGCCGAAATTTTTTTATCCAATGACTGAAGACTAACGTTATACAACAATGTATAAAAGCACTCAAGTGAGAGTCTGTCATAATCAGTTCTTCAACGGAAAATATGTAGAACGCAATACATGCAGGTTGCATCGTAAGATACACATTAATTTTCATCATTTTATCTTTTCAAATATTTAAAACTAAAACTTTAAGATTTGAATCATAAGTTACGATCTTTTTATATTGAATATAACCAACTTCTTTCAACAAAAATATTGCAGATGAGCTTAAGATTTGCAATTAAAATTAAAATTAAGCTAAATAATCCGTCATCAAAGATGAAAAATATGTTATTAAGATAGCAAGTCTATTATTAAAATTACGGTCGAGGATATTCCGAGATCCCTTCCCCTCTGTTTACGCATTAATCAATAAATCAATGAATTCATAAATGATCTATTTATATATATAGGTATATATGGCAATAAGAATCTGCACACGTTATGCAAGTTTATATATGAATATATGTATACGTTCGCCGTCTGACTCTGAATATGGCGAATTCTATCTACGTGACGCGTGATATACAGCGAAATTTTCGTGACGTAAGTCCGATCGATTTTTGTGACGAAATCATAACGGACGTGGTACCTTTTACCAAGCATTAGGAATTTCGAACATCGTTGAAAACAAATACAATGTCATCGACCGCCGAAACCGCGTTTAGCGACCGAACCCTATTCAAGGTCCAGCGATTCGATGACCTTAAATCATCGCCGATATGTATTGTACGATTGTCATCGAGTGAGCGGCGTATATAGCTGCAATGGTCGAGTGGATACATTACGATACACCGTTGGGATACTTATGAGTCAGTTATATCGTCAGTTAACTAACAGTATAAATCAGCATTTTAATATACCGTAAGGTGAGGTCATAATGAGCCAGCAGAGATAATCTCATGCAAAAGACAATTTAGTCTATGCAAGTCTATGTAAAAAAGATAATTAAGAAACGTTTATCGTGGAGATAAAGATCGAAGCTCACACAATTTTTAATAAAATTCATAAGATTAAGATAGAAAGAGAATCACTTTCAGTATCGTAATATATCTCCTATAATGATAAAGTTAATTATAATTATAGACTCGTATCGTAAACAGATAATTTTGCTTAATATTAATTAAAAAAATCAAGTCTATATTTTATTTAAGAGAGATTATATTTTTCCTACTGCACATTTCAACGTATTGTAAGTAATTCACGTAGGCTGTTTATTATCGTTTGCAACGATTAAACCGGCAAAATCGAAAGTTATAACCGCACCATTAATTACGGACGAAGGATTAATTTGTTCGATAATTTATCGACGCTCTCACGAGCGTGAAAACGTGAAAGCTTCCTGCCAGTGACGACGATAAAGCACTGGCGACCATTGCTAAGAGAAAATTCGAAAGCCGTTGGTCGTGAAAACCTGTTCGATCGAGTCATCGAATATGGATTCCTGTTTTGTTACATTCGAGACGAAATCTGGGCTAGACGCATCATATAAAAAAAAATAAAAAAAAAAAAACAGATCCACCAGACTCGCTGGCCTATTTACAACACGTGCCTTTCTGTCAAATCATATTCGATTTCGTATGACGTGTTTACAATGTTGAACTGAAATGTCAAACTCAAATAAAAGAGAACAAAAGACGTCTTTTCCATAACAATGGAAAACTTCAGCGTACTCAATAATAAAATGTCCAAAATAAAAAATATATTTAAAATATCCATATAATCTTTTCTAGATCATTGAATGACCATGTGATTTTTTTGCAGATTTTTAATTTTAACGGCTGTCTTTCTTTTTAACTTGAGAAAGCTTGACGTTGATATAAAGCGATCACCCTATACCAGAGACGTCACGAAGCAACTTTGCTGCTATACATAATATAATATCACAAGGAGGCAACATTTTGCCTTCTGCGCGACGTAAGGACGCGTGCAACAGGAAGAACGTATTCGAAGTATCTGGAAGTCACAGAAACGATAACACGGTTTGATAAGAAAATAGTGCACTTAGCGATAGGTTTCAACTAGGACGGTTTGGACTAGGAGTCTTATAGTTAACGTTACAGCTTCCTGAACTCACTTCAATGAACCTTGAAAAATGTGCTGCGACTTCCAGCCATTTCTGTCGGACACTTTCTTCCGCTCTGCGAGCGTCGACCCATAGGCTTAACATATTACGCGTGACGAGGCACATGTTGATCGACCTACGAACGACAACGAAACATTCCAGACCCGGAGACAATGAGGCATGATAGAACGATGATTCCGCGTGTCTGAGGAATTAACTCCATCCGAAGTGAATAATAATGGGCTTTTCTTATGTAGATACTCACATCTTAATTGTATACACTACCGCTCGAAAGTATTTGCTCACTTTGTCTTTCATAATTAAATAAAGAAGAGTGAATTTCCATTTTCTTTCCTACTCTTCTAGATTTGAATAATGATATTTAATAGCTAAAAATTTTAAATTCTATATACAATAGAGAGAAAATTAGAAGTATATAAAAAATTTGTGTGTACAAAAATTGAGATGAACAAATACTTTTGAATGGTAAGAGTAAATGTATTTTAGCATTTTTATCATTTAATCATAATTTTAATTAAAAAATTTCCAACATTAAATGAATATAAAATTATTGAGGAGAGAAAACATTAAACAGTTAAATATGCGTATATTTGTAACTGTTGTGCGATTAACTAAAGCGATTAAAACATTTCTGCCTACTGTTTACAACAATGCAACAATAAGCGTATTACATAAACGATTCTCTCCGTATGTTTTACGTTAATTATATAGTAAATAAAAGAGAGTTTCGGAATAAACAATGATCTTTGCATGCAATTTAT